TCTCTTTTTTTTTTTTTTTTTTTTTTTTTTGGGTAAATTTTTTTTTTTTTATTTTTTTAAAATCTTTTTTTTTTTTTTGGATTTCTTTTTTTTTTTTTTTTTTTTTTTTTTAGTTGGGAAAATTTTCTTCTATGATTTTCTTAAAAATATTTTCTGCACCTTGGAGTCTGGAATCTTCTTTTTCTTGTATTCCTATTATTCTTAGATTTTGTCTTTTCATGGCATGCTTGATTTCTTGGATGTTTCGTGTTTGGGACTTTTCTGATTTTACCTTTTCTTTGATAGAAGTATCAATTTCAGTAAGTGTATCTTCAGCTCCTGAGATTCTCTCTTCCATCTCTTTTATTGTACTGGTGATGCTTACCTTTGTGGTTCCTGATCTTTTTTCTAAGTTCTCCAGCTCCAGGGTTTTATCTGTTTGTGTTTTCTTTATTGATTCTAATTTTATTTTCATGCCTTGCACCATTTCCTTCATCTGTTTGAATGTGGATTCTTGTCTCTCTATGATGGCTTCTATTTTTTTTTTTGTTCATTTCCTCTTTATGTCACTAACTGTGCCTCTACTTGTGAGGCTTTATTTGATTGTATTTCTTTGACAGCTTTGCTGATTTCCTCTTTATATTCCTCCACTTGTGTGGCTATTTTTATGAGAGATTTGTTCATTTCCTCTTTATGTGTGTTTAATAACTGGATAAGCATAACTTTAAAGTCATTATCCTGTGTTTCCAATTAGTTAAAATATCCATTGATTTGGGGGTTTTCTGGTGAAGCCATAATATCCTTTTGTTGGATGTGTTCTAACACCAACCTCTTGCCATCTGCTTATCTGTAACCTTCACTGTTTTTTTTCCTGGAGTCTGTACTTCAGGCTGGGTCTGTCTTTCTCTGGTGTCTGGAGAATTCTTCAGGAAGATTAAGAGAGGTCCACTGGTTTGAGGGTGTGCATTGGTGTTCCAGCAATACCGAAGCAAAGAAAAGCTGCTGGCGCAGAATCAAAATTGCTTGAGAGCAAGTGTATGCATGGAAGTGTGTCTTGAAGAAGACAGTGCTAGGGAGTGTAGATGCTTGGAATGTATGTGGGGGGATCAGTCGCTGAGGGTGCAGATGCTAGTGCTGTTAGTAAGCACCTGTGCCAATTTCCTGAATACCTCAGTGGTCTACAGTCCTGTCATACTGTCGTTCTGGTCGTTTCTGGGTTCTAGGAGTTTTTGCCTTGACTTCACTGGTAGACCTGCAGATCAGGGCCTTCAATGTTGATAATGCTGTCCCAAGAATCCCTAGGTAGCAGCAGAACCTAGGGTTTGATGTTGCGGTGCACCGGGAGTGCAGCCACCGGGGCATGAATATGGGGGCCTCTGGCACAGATGCCTTCTGGAATGCCCTGGGGAGCCACGGGCCTGGTTCGTCTGGTGGAGCTGCCGGCACTGTTCTCTGTGCGAGGAGCTGTGGGCACTGTGGGCCAGAGGCTGAGCTCTGTGGTGGACACTGTGGGCCGCCTCAGCTGCCTCTGCTGCTGTCTGCTGTGCCTCCACCACTGTCTCCACCCGTTAAAGGGGAAGTGCCTAGGAACTGAGTCCCCAGGAGAATTCCACAGTGAAATCCACCATTGACCTGCATCCTATTGGTCTCAGTTCAGGGTTTGTCTCTTTTCACCCTGGAAGCCTCAATGTCGTTGTTTTGGGTTCAGCTGCCCCTCCACTCACCAATTTCAGAGTTTCAGATCCTCTGCCCCTCAGATACAGTGAGCAGCTGGTCGCTGTGATCTTGGATTTCAATAGTGAATTTTTATCTTTATTGCAGATTTTAAATATAATTGTTTGATTTAACTTTGGAACACAATTATAATGCGCATCTTATAATATACTTTGGCATTTGCTCAGGGTTGGTTTCATAGGTCCTAGTCTCTTCAGTGTGTACACACACACACACACACACACACACACACACACACACACACACCTTTAAAAATCCCTCAAGTCCAAATACTGCTGTGTATATACTCTTAAGTGTATAGCTAACAATGGAGTGTGTTTCCTACCAGGTACCATGAAGTCAAAGAAAAATGACTGATCTTCCAGTAACTTTCAAATGCCAATAGTTTTTAAGTGAAAGGTGCAACTTCATGCTCACCTTTGCCTTCTATGCTAGCATTTTATCTGACTTGAGCTTGGGAAGGTCTTGTCCATACTGCCACAACTGCTTTAAGTTCATATGTATAACTTCACTATTTTGTTCAGAAAATAGATTTTCTTTTTCATCATCCACTGCCTCTGGGCTCTTGCAATCTTTCTGGCCTCCTCTTGTACAATGATCTTTGAGCCATGGGAAAAAGGTGTGTTATACAAATGTCTCATTAGGACTGAGCATTCCACAGTACTAAATTCCCTAAGATAGTGTATGTAAGAAACATAACAGTTTAAGCACAGAATAAACGATGCTATACTTACTATACTCATTATACATGGAGTGCTACATTAATTATGTGGTCTGGAAAAAAAGAGAATACTCACAGAGGGAATGTTATTGGCATTGTCTAGAGAAATAAAGAGGATTATCTAGAAGACAGAGGCACAAAAGATCTTGAATAAACAGAGTATCAAAATAAAAAAGGGGGGGATGAGGACAAATAGTAGCATTAGGTCATTTATAAACAAGGAAATCATGAAATTTGCAGGCAAATGGTGGGAACTAGAAAAGACCATCTTGAGTGAGGTATCCCAGAAGGAGAAAGACACACACGGTATATACTCACATATAATTGGATATATAATATATATAAGATATATAATGTAGGATATATAATATAGGATATAATATATATATAATATATAATATAGGATAAACCTACTAAAATCTGTACACCTAAAGAAGCTAAACAAGAAAGAGAACCCTGGTTAAGATGATCAATCCTCACTCAGAAAGACAGAGGGGATGGACATTGGAAGAAGGAAAAAATAGGAAATAGGATAGGAGTCTAGCACAAAGCACCTCTGAAAGACTATCAAGTAGTGTATCAAAACAGATGCTGAGACTCATAACCAAACTTTGGGCACAGTGCAGGGAATCTAATGAAAGAAGGGGGAGATAATAAGACCTGGAGGGGACAGAAGCTCCACAAGGAAAGAAACAGAATTAAAAACTCTGGGCACCAGCTATACCATATGCTAGGTATATACCCAAAATTTGCTCAAGTACACAAAAAGGATATTTGCTCAACCATGTTTGTAGCAGCTTTATTTGTAATAACCAGAACCTGGAAACAACCCAGATGTCCATCAATGGAGGAATGGATACAGAAATTGTGGTATTTTTACACAATGGAATACTACTCAGCAATCAAAAAAGAGGAAATCATGAAATTTACAGGCAAATGGTGGGATCTAGAAAAGATCATTCTGAGTGAAGTATCCCAGAAGGAGAAAGACAAACGTGGAATATACTTGCTTATATAGACCTACAAGATATGATAAACATAATGAAATCTATACACCTAAAGAAGATAATCAAGAAAGCGGACACGGGGTAAGATGATCAATCCTCATTTAGAAAGACAAATGGGATATGCATTGAACGTATGACAGGAGTCTACCGCAGAAGAATCAGGGATTCATATGAAAGAAGGGGAGTTTGGTGTGGAAAGGATAGGAGCTCCACAAGGACCAAACATATCTGGGCACAGGGTCTTTTCTGAGATGGACACTGAACCAAAGACCATGAGTGGATATAACCTAGAACCTCTGCTCGGATGTGACCCGTGATAGCTCAGTAACCAATTGGTTTCCTATAGTAAGAGGAACAAGGACTATTTCTAACAGGAACTCAATGGCAGGCTCTTTGACCTCCTCACCTCCCAAGGGAGGAGCAGTACTGTTAGGCCACAGAGGAGGACTTTGCAGCCAGTCCTGAAGATACCTGACAAAACAGAGTCATATGAAAGGGGAGGAGGTCCTTCCCAATCAGTGGACTTGGAAAGGGGCAGGGAGAAGATGAGGGACGGAGGGTGGGATTGGGGAGGGAATGAGGGAGCGGGATATAGCTGGGATACAGAATTAACAAAATGTAACTAATAAGAAAAATAAAATTATAAAAAGAAAGAAGTGAAATGGCTTGCATTATATTAACTTTGACCAAAATATCTCATTTTATTAAATCAACATATTAAAACAAACAAACAAAAAAAAAAAAAAAAACAAACCTCTGGGCACAAGGGTCTTTTCTGAGACTGATACTCCAGCCAAGGACCATTCATGTATATAACCTAGAACCCCTGCTCAGCTGTACACAATGGCAGCTCAGTCTCCAAATGGGTACCCTAGTAAGGAGAACAGGGACTATCTCTGACACGAACTCAGTGGCTGGCTCTTTGACCACCTCCCTCAGGGGGAGGAGCAGCCTTGCTAGGACACAGAGGAGAACGTTGCAGCCGGGTCCTGATGAGACATGATAAGCTAGGATCAGATGGAAAGGGAGGAGGACCTCTCCCATCAGTGGACTTGGAGACGGGCTTGGGAGGAGTTGAGGGAGGGAGGGTAGGAGTAGGAGGGAAAGACAGAGGGGGCTACAGCTGTCATACAAAGTGAATAAACTGTGATTAATATAAAAAATAAAAATTTAATTAAAAAATCAGAAATAGTTTGCTGTGGTTTAAACCTAAAGTAAATATGGGAGAATGACAGGCCGTACACAGGAGTAGTTAGATTAAAAAAAAAAAAAAAAAAGAAACAAGTTGCTAGCTAAATACAAATGCTTTTCTGTTCTCTTCCAAGGTACTTGATGCTTAACTTTTTTTTGATCAATAATAACAGAATTTATTTATTTTTAAAAGAATAATCACTTTTACACATGAAATTGAGAGACCAAATTTCAGCTTGTATTAAGGCAGCAATTATAATAGGCATGAAAAGTTATATAGTAGACATTAGAATATGGTCAACAAGTTAACAGGAACTCATGAGTACCTCTCCTCAGAGATCTGGAGATGTCTCACTTGCAGAGCCATCGCCATGCCTCTGGCTAAAGATCTGTTACACTCTTCCTTGGAAGAGGAAGAGAAAAAAAAAAAACATAAAAAGAAGTGGCTGGTTCAGAGCCCAAATTCTTACTTCATGGATGGGAAATATCCAGGACGCTACAAGATTACTACAGTTTTCAGCCATGCTCAGACAGTGGTTCATTGCATAGGCTGTTCAACAGTGCTGTGCCTCCCCACAGGAGGAAAAGCCAGACCCACAGAGGGCTGTTCCTTTAGAAGAGAGCAACACTAATCAGCTATAGAAGTTCCTGAATCTGTGTTTTTCACGGAAAGCCTTATCAAGTTCAGCTACCCTACCAAGACAATGTAATTACATCTGATTTTATAAAGTTTACAACGGTGACCTCCTATTTTTCTGTCAGCTTTTCAATAAAGTTTAAATTATGGAAAAACAAAAGGAGACAATAGGAGACTGACATGATGTAGTCCAATGGCAACCTATAAAGGATCAGCAAAGATTTTTATCACTAACATGAAAGATAGTTTTTATCACTAACATGGAGAGGCTAAGAAGAGAAACACCTTCAGGATACCTCCCACGTTTCTAATTTAGAACAGTGGGTTGATTGAGAGGTCACTCACTAAGTTGGAATGAGAATTCAGTTTTGAATAGGTTGGGCTTACCAAACATTCAAATAGAACTATCAGTCTGAAAATTTTATCATTTAGAGGTCATAGACGGCAAGCTAATGCTATAGATTTCAAGATTTACATATATAGTAGTGGTTAAGTTTAAATCAATATGATTAAAAAGCAAGTCTCTAATAAAGAGCTCAACTCTACTTTTGTTCTTTGATTGATGAAAGCTTGTAAGCCTTATCACCTTCTTTCTAACTAAGTCAGTGGAAATTGATAGGAAAAATACCAGAAGGAAGTTCAGCTCATTGAAGACAAAGCCTACCCATGCAAGGAGATCCTAATGCTTGCTTCATCACCTAAAAGCCTGTATTGTTTCCCCTAAACAATTTTACTATTGTTTTATTTAGAGTTTTTATTGCTGTAATAAAACACTGTGACCAAAAAACAAATTGGGGAGGAAAGGGTTTATTTGGCTTATACTTCCATATCACAGTTCATCATCAAAGGAAGTCAGGACAGGAACTCAAACAGGGGAGAAAATCTAGAGGCAGGAGCTGATGCAGAGGCCATGAAAGGATGCTGCTTACTGACTTGCTCCCCATGGCTCGTTCGGCCTTCTTTCTTCTTATAAAACCCGAACTATGCACAATGGTCAGGGCCCTCCTCTGTCACTAATTAAGAAAATGCCCTACAGGCCTGCCTAGAGCCTTATCTTATGGAAGCATTTTTTTTAAATTGAGATTCCCTCCTTTCAAACGACTATAGTTTGTATGAAGTTGACATAAAAATGTCCAGCATGACTATGTGAGTAATCCCTTTGTACACATTGGGTACATGTGTAGTATCAACAGAAAAATTTTAGATATGTGTAGAGAATACATTCTTCTCTCTTGTATAGAGTAAAACTGTATCCATATGTCAATATTCAGTGGCATATATCTTTCTCACAATAATACATAGTTTTATGTAATTAAATGATTAAGATCTTGGCAATGGAATAGTTCTGGTTTGCCATGTATAATGTGTATAAATAAATTCCAAGTGGCTAATGCATGGAGAATTGTGGGATAAAATCAATATTTAAACACCAGGCATAAGAAGAGGAGCTCATGAAAGAGTCTGAAAGGAACTTGGCAGAAAATGAGGATAGGAGGAATTCCAGCAAGAAGAGCCTTTTAATAATAATAATAATAATAATAATAAAATTCTTATAACCAAATATTTAACAGGATTCAGAATAGATTTGAAAGCTACTTCTGGATTAGTAATTAGGCTGCCAAGAATAAAATTTTGTTTAATTTATAGAAAACTCTATGTGAAGAGCTACCTTTCAATGTTTTTGCCATTACTATCTTTAATACACTTTTATAGAATCAATCATGTGGGCAATTTTGATATTAACTCCACATCAACACCTACTTCTCTTCACTAAAAAATGCATAGGCTAGTTAGGTCAGTGCTTTACCAAATTTTACTGCAAGTCTGTGGGTAACAACATAAAGTAATAAAAATTACAAATATATGTTTCAAAGGTGTAATCTGGTAGCCAAAACCCATATTAATTCCCTTTTAAAACTGAATTCTGACATTCATTATTCAACATGAATTTATGATCCACTTCTAAAATCTAGAACTGTTGAAATCAGCTCAGATTTGCACCAGAGTTAATGTAATACACTACATGATCAGAGTTTCATGTCATATGTAGATCTATTAACCCAAGTTTTGTATTATATTCCAACCCCATCTGTGGTTGCGTAAGCTCAGGGTCATAGAAATGTTTCTATAACAACAGATTTTGGTGTGATTTCTGACCTTGATTTTCTGCAGTGAGTAGAAATTTGTTCTGTGGTCTGCTGAGTAATCATGGTAATATCTTAAAGTACTTTTCAGTTCATTTCTCTGTCATACCTATACTCTACTGTTTCCATTTTCACAACTACAAGATCTATCTCAGTTACAACCCCAAATTAATATGTACTTTGTAGCTTTATGCACAAAATTTATTTTTACACATTTTTAAACCATTTAGGACTTTGGCAAAATAAGCAAACACTCCTAAAACTATGGACTTAATATGATTAGGTCAAAACATGTGTTCACAATTGCTTCTTTCTTTTTAATAAAAGTTATAATGGTTATTTCATTTATGGATTCACAACCCCTTAAGGGTAACATATCAGATATCCTACATATGAGATATTTATATTACAATTCGTAACAGTAGCAAAATAGCAAAATTACATTTGAGAAGTAGTAAAAAGTAATTTTATGGCTATAGGTCACCATAAAATGAGGAACTTTTTAAGAGGTCGCACTATTAGGAAGGCTGAGAATTAGATTTTTATACATATCTCAGTTTCATCATACCCATGTCACATAATTCTGAGATACAGAATTTTTATTTGAGCCTTATTATTTTCATCTATTAAAAGTAGGCTTTAAGCATACCTATTTCACAGTGTTTCTGAGGATAAGTGGGTTTATGTGTATATTTTTGCTTATTGTAATATATAACAGAGAGAAAAACTTTACAAATCATAAATATAATTATTATAACATGTAAAACATGCATGTTAGCACCTACCATTTATTGGGCCAAATTTATAATTTAAAAAACTCTAAGATAGAAGATTAATGTACATCAATAAAAATAACTATGCATAGCTGTTCACCCAGGAGAGTTGAAATTCTCAACTACCTCATTTGATTGGAACTAAACACTGTTTTTTGTACATAACATAGTCCTTGTATTCATGAAATTTAGCTGTGGTTACCTGCATAAGACCGACAGAAATCAAAACTCCAGAGTAGATGAGAGGGGGATTGCTCACAAGGCTCCAATATTCTAGCTGGAAAGTTATTGGTAATTGATAGCTATTGAGGAAGGAAGAACCATTTGCCTTTGGAGGTGTGCCCACTAATTAAGTTGCCCATGTTCTGGTAGAAGGCCTCATATTCAAACATTTTAATTGAGTTCAGTAATTCACCCCAGTTGGGAGAAAGAAGAGGAAAAGGAGATAAAGTTGGGAGGGGGACAACTTTTAGACGGTCTCTGAGTGAGTTGAAATGGAGGGATGGGGTGGATGAAGTTAAATTATATTATACATATGTAAAAGAAAAGAAGAGAAGGTAACGATTTCTCATAAACCCCTGTCTCCACATTGGTACAACATACCCTACTGTCAACAAGCCAAAAAGCCTGAATTACCATATTTGTTAAAATTGACAAATCTGCAAGGACACAGAATGATCATCAAGATTCTATATTCTACATCAGTGCTCACTGTTGGTGGTGTATGAAATATTATGAATTATATCTGCCATACAGAATATGTTTACTGTGGGGAAAATCCTCTGTGTAGTATCTATTCATCCTTATATTTCCTCACTAGAACCTCTAGCAACTACTTTTTCAGTAAATATTGTAGTGTCAAATTGTTTAAAAATGCCATGTCCCTTAAACAGTTACATCCTTAGGTAACATACTTGAGATCTCAGTTAACTTTTAGGGGGATCTGATATTTCTTATGATTGCTTTTATTCAGTATCACACAAAGGTCATAATGCTGCTTCTTTTTTTTTTTAAGAAAAAATATATAATAAAACCCCCATGAATAATGTTTATTCAAACAGTAGAAATAATCTTGGGAATTTGGTAATGATTTCAGGCCAGTTTTTAAAATTTGTTTATTTATTTATTTATTACAGTTTATTCATTTTGTATCCCAGTTGTAGCCCCCTCCTTCTCCTTCCAGTTCCACCCACCCTCCCTGTTCTCTCCTATGGTCTTCCCCTAGTCCACTGATAGAGGAGGACCTCCTTCCTTTCTATCTGATCCTACCTTATCAGGTCTCATCAGGGCTGGCTGCATCATCTTCCTTTGTGGCCTGGCAAGGCTGCATCCCCTATGGGGTGGTCATCAGAAAGCCTGCCACTGAGTTCATGTCAGAGACAGCTCCTGTTCCCCTTATTAGGAAACCCACTTGGAAAATGAGCAGCTTATGGGCTTCATCTGAGCAAGGGGTCTAGGTCTGTTCCATGCTTGTTATCTGATTGGCGTATCAGTCTTTGCAGGCCTCCATGTGGAGCTCCTGTCCTCTCCAGGTCTTTCTGTCTCCCCCTTCTTCCATAAGGATTCCAGCACCCAAAGTTTGGCTATGAGTCTCAGCATCTCCTTCAATACCTTGATGGGTAGAGTGTTTCAGAGGCCCCTGGATATTAGCCATATAATATAGGATAAACATATGAAAACCTATAGTCCTAAAGAAGGTAAACAAGAAAGAACCTAGGGAAAAGGCTGAAATCTCATTCAGAAGGGCAAACAGGATAGACACATGAAGTAAAAGACAGGGTTCAGGCCATGTTTTAATTACTTACATATCAAATAGTAGGTGAGGGCATCCAGCGGCTTTGTCTATGGGCTAGTTTAAAATTCTGGGCCATTAAAAACCTCTTCTGAAAACTGCTCTTACTCTTTATTGATTATTGAATGATTGAATTTGCAAAATGCTCATGAGCCAAACTTATATATAAGCAAAGAGAATTAAATGAACTTAATGATTTACATGAATAAAATCTCTAAAGGAAGGGGTTACTATAGGCACAGTTGGATTCAATGTTCAAAAGATGTCATCACGACTTGGTTTCTCT